AATTTTCTACTCTTAAAATCTGATCCATGGAGCTATTATATTCCTGAAACTTTCTTCAAGCTGAGAAAAGCCTTTTAAAAATCCCTGATGTCATCGCAATGTAAAATCTATTAGCCGAGCAGGGACTTGCAGGCGGAGCTAGTGTGAGAAACACTATTGCACATATTAAATGGGCCACACGCCGCGGCTGTATGTGCAAGGTGAGCAAAGACTAAATAGGCGCCATCTTGGGGTTCGGTATCTTGTTGTTATTATTATAATACATCTATGGCCAGCACCCGACTTGCTATTTACCACAGCAGGAGGCTGGCAGCCAGTTATTGGTCCTGACATCCGGCAGCCTGCTGTCGTCATGCAGACGTGGGGATGGTTTCATCAGAAATATGTGTGAAAAACAATAGGCGCCTCTGAGTCGCCTCATCTCTGTCCCGCAGAGACATGTCTATTAAAAAGTAATAACAGTCTGGATGATATGCTGATTTAATTTGGTCTAACTTTAGTAATTATAGGCTACTTGTTTTCATGCAACCACAAGAAAATAATACAACTATTATTCCCCTCCCGCCATCAGAGGGGCAGCTCAGCCAGAGAGGGCAATGGGCTGTTGTTTGGGCAACTTCAGCCTGTCCTCGTGCACGTTCTTGTGCAGCATCATAATTGATGGATGAATGAGTGAGAGGCAGCGGCTGTACATCACACCCAGAGGGTTTCCCTCCACAGCAGTTAAAGGCTTCGTGAGGCACGACAAATTTATCTCTGTCGTTTAACTGTGCTTTGTTTTTGTGACATAATTGATGGTGTCACATAAAAATGTCCTAATTTATTGTCATTTAAAAAACACTGTCAATATAAAGCAATGTGAAAGCATGGTTGCTTCATGTTATGCTGTGGGATATAAGAGATGAGGACAAACTGCAGATTGTATCATAACAGTGACAATATTCAAACAAAACCAAGAGAAAGTAAAAACCCGTCACAGAGCGTGAGGCAGTTTGTGACAGTGTTTGTTGTTGCAGCCTGCTTGTTTTGAATTTTAAAAATAGCTGAAAATCAGATTTTAAAAAATCAATCAGACAAAAATCAATGTGAAGATCTAATCATAAAATGCTCTTTGCAGCAGAAACACTATTTTTTCATTACATTTACAGACTCTGTTTTATTTTTTTGTGAGGCATTTTTCGACCTGCCTGATCACTTTGCAGGAGGAACCTGTTTACAAATTATGATGAGCAGTGTCATCTTGCAGCAGCGGAAATAAAATGTGTGTCAAAATCAGTTTTCTACATAAAAAACCTGAAACCTCGACATCTTTCTCAAACGAAGAGGTTCTTATCCCCTTTGTTCATGTCTCCCCTCAGGAGGAAGGTGGACGCAGCTTCTCACAAATGTCATTCTCTGATTATGTCGCACTGTCGATGGACAGATCTGCGCTGCCAGTCGACAGGACGGTCGTCCCTATAGTCTTACCTTTTTAATGCCAAGAGAAAGTCAGTGGAATCGTTCAGACAGCGCTGCCAAAATGAAAAAGATTAAATGAACCATGTAAATGTGTTATAGCTGCCCTTGGGAGATATTTACAGATTGGCAGGCTTGGACGTGAGCCCGCTCACAGGGAAAATAATCGTGGGTTAGACTCTGGGGTAAACGTGTTTTCCACAGGGACGAGAATTTCCACAAATGCATCTGTGTGTACTTACATTCAAGGCAACACAGCTTTTTATTTCTTATGGTGATATATCTGCAGTGTAGTATGTGAAAAGAGTGTGTGTGTGTGTGTTTTCTGTGGCATGTGAGCATATTTGTCTGAACCTGCCGTGCCGCTCGATGCACAGCAAATTAAAGCCTCTTGGTTTGTTTGGCCAAATAAGGAGAAGAGAGCGATATGAATAATGCCTGGCTGGCTTTGGGAGCTCTCGGGGTTAGGTCAACACTGTGGAGCCGAGGGAGGATCCTCATCACGGTGTGTTCCTCTGTGATAGGCGTCAGTTACAGCAGCTTCACACCCGCTCAACAGAAGCACGTTAGAAGCATATTTCCACTGACGTGCAAAAGGGATCAGCTTTACTTAGGCCTATTTTGGTGTGAACCAAATGTTCCCTGGGAGGAAGAGGGTTTAGTTTGCTCATATTGCAGCCTTATTATGTTTGCTCAGTTTATTTGCATTTACTTAGAGCAGAGAGGAAATCTTGACCACGTGCAGCGCACAGAGAAAGGATTTGTCAAATACTGATGGGGCCGATGTGATCTGGAGCTAAAATGATTAGTGCAGTGATTCACGACCTGGGATACATGCAGGGCGCACTACTGTCTGCCAGGAGGCACTTGGAAAGATCATGAAGCAGCTCAACAAATCTGAAAAATTTGGAGTAGTATTTGATTCAAAGAATATATCCACATATTAATCCAGCTGTAACAGCTCAACACTACACGATGCAGTGATGTAAGAGTGTGTGAAAACTAGTTAGCAAGCGATCACAGAAGTTTAAACACTTGAAAGTGATAGGAAGATAGTTAAAATAGTTGGCTTGTGGTATTAGAGGCTAATGATTAGCTGAAAGTACTGACTAACCAGTTCAAATAATTAGGTCAAAGAAATAAATGGTTAAAACAGCTAGCTAATGCCTGCTACACACTACATGATATTAGCCTGATTCTAGCCTGACGCAGCGACATACAGTCTCGTACGCGATAATCCATCGTTTCATCTCGTGTCACGTGCCATTGTAGACGACAACCAACGCCGCGTCTGGGACGCCTCACGACGTCCCAACAGAAAGTCTAGCATGTTTGATTTTCTTTTTGTCTTCCACAACTTCTCCCGTCACAGCCGTCACTTTGACCAATAGGAACACAGAGCGATCTGTTGCCGTAGAAACTGTAGGACAACAACAGCAATCAAACTCACAGATAGTGTCTGGGCCTTTACTCAGCACAGCTGCAGAGGCTACCAGCTGCATCTCAAACACACCACATTAGAAACAGGACGTCATTTATTATTCCCTCTGTATATTTTTAGATTTTTACTTTTTATCCGCTCCCGTTTGCCTTGATAAAGTTCATGCATCGCGCCGTCATTTCAAACTCAACACAACCATTATCATGTCAGCTAAGAGAATCCCTTCATTTTCTAAAAAGGCTTTTATTGTGAAACATTTGCAGGAACTTGTTGTGGAGGATTCAGTGACTTGCATGTTTGTGTATAGTACTGCTAGGCTGACCAAACGTCCTCTTTTGCCCGGACACGTCCACTTTTCACGTCCTGTCTGGGCGTTCGGGGGGTTTTTATAAACTGATGATAATGTCCGGTTTTCCGTGTGTTTGTGTGTGTGTGTTAGAGTGCGGCACGGGCAGCATATTTCTGTCCGAACCCGAACCGAGCCCGACATTATTTAATGACCAAAGCACTGAGTTTGTGTCACACAGTGGTTACAGGCTATTCAACAGGCCGGGTGTGCGCCGTGGGTGCTCAGCTGCGGAGAGGGAGACCTCCGTGTTTGAGACAGGAGCAGGAGGCGGGAGGTCCAATGCTTCCAGCGAGAGGAGAGGGAGAAATAAAACAAAATAAGATAAAACAGGAGAAACCTGTCTCCCTCTTTTATTTTATTTTCAGCGTTTAATCAAGGCGGAGGCGGGCGGCTGGAGGTCCGAGACTTCCAGAGAGGGGAGAGGTAGAAACAAACAGCCAATGTGTGTCTGTGTGTGTTATGTTCAGGTGTTGTCACGTAAATAACAGTGCCCAAGCAACAAACAGGACAGACAATAGGATTTTATTTATTTTTACACTACATTTTCACTGAAAACTGACCGAATCCGACCCGAGCCCGAATACAATTTATAGCTACATTTTTGACCAAACCCGGCCGACCTGTCGGGTACCGTCGGGCTCGGATCACCACACTCTAGTGTGTGTATGTGTCCCTTATTGGGGCCTATCTGAATTTCTGTCTTTGAGAGATATTATTTTGTAATATAACTGAATTTTCTATCCATACATATAAATTTAAAATATATTAAAATTATAAGGCATCTTTGAGTAAACTGCGAGTATCATTTAAGCAAAGCATTGTGAACACAGTATCTGGGGTTTTTGGAATTTTGATGGGCACTGTTTTTGGTAATAAAAATAATCATTGTGACCCTAATGTAATTGCTGTGTTAACCAGCCTGGCATGAGAGATGTTATAAGAGTGCTGGTGTGGGGAGGGCACAGATCATGGGAATTTGGCAGAATAAAATTCAGTTTAATGATATTATATTTTTTTTTTACCATTTAAACAGTACAAATTTTGGCTAACCAGTTTCTGATGCATGTTGTGTTTTGGTGTCTACACTCATTTTAATAATGTGAACGGAAACAATAAAACAATACTTCTAATCTGCCTCTCTGCGTGTGCATGGTTGGCGAGCACCAGGCAACGTTCACATCACTTTTTTATTGTTTAGCAAAAGTGCAACAGACTGCTCGCTGATTCAGATCGTTCTGTCCGACGTGCTGCTATTGAGCTTTAACAATGGCCCTGTTTACTTTGGGTGTGTCAGTGCGCCATGATTCCAGTGAGTCAGCATGCATGATACCAGAACCTGGATCTGTTTCAGCGAAATGGAATCTAACCATCATTATTGCTGTTAGTTTCATGTGTGTTTGATGAAAAGGGATGAAGCGGGAAAATCCTGATCAAAAGTTCTGCTGAATCACACTTGTGCATATTCAATTCATCACATTTAATTTGGATTTGAAGGAGCATGTGGTCAAGATCGCCTTGAAGATCTGTGAAGGGCTGAATTGTGCAGCGTGATAGCTTCAGTCTTTACAGGCTGCGACTGAGTGAGCAGCTCAGTGAGAACATAACGGTTCCTGCAGACGTGAGGAGCAGTCAGTCTGCTCTGCAACCGAACCACCACCACTGACACAAAGCAGCTAACCCCTTCTCTTCTTTTACCCACTCTTCCTTCACTCCTTCCTCTTCCCTCTCCTCTTCATTGTCCCAACCATTAAACAGAAGCAAGACGTTCTCAACCAAGTAAGCCTCAGCCCGTGGGCTCTGCATGCTGTGTGGTGTCTGTGTCAGCAGACTGCATGCACATTCTGTCCACTAACATAACATAACCCCGCCTTATCCGCCACAGATGGTCTGTCGCCCTGCCAGAGGGGAAAAGGCCAGAATTCACAGGGTCGTTGAGTTGAGTGCTACTATGCACTCACCACATGGCAGTGTGTGTGTGTGTGTGTGGGGGGGGGGGTTTGCAGGAGGTAAATGGAAGGAGCTCAGGAACGTTGACGTGACATGTTGTGCTGTCTGTGCTGCTTTCTTTACATTTTCTTTGAACCATCAGGCCTCTGGAGGTTTTATCTGGATGCAGCTTCCAGCTTCCTCCAGTCTGCCTCTGCTAACTGTCACGAGACGGTTCACCTCAAAATCAAAAATACGTAGCTTTCCTCTCACCTGTGGAGCTATTTATAAATCTAGATGCTTTTGGTGCAAGTGTTGGAGATATGGGCCGTAGAGATATCTGCTCTCTCTCAATATACAATGGATCTAGATGACACATGACTCAGTTACTCAAGATAATCCACAGACTTTGTTGTGAGCAGTTTCATGTAGGAACTATTTTCCTTTTTCCGAAATACACCCGCCAACTGAATCATCACGCAGAAGGAAGAAGGAGATGAAGATATGCATTAAATGGAGAGGTGTCAGAGCAAGAGGGCTGCTTTGGTCAGGCGCCCCGTGCAGTTGGGGGTTCGGTGCCTTGCTTAGGGGAGGAAAACTGGGACCTCTCCAGCCTACGAGTGTTGATTTCGTTGAGGAAAAGTCACGAAAATATTTCATCAACAACCTTTTTCTGTGATGAAAACAAGATGATGACAAGCTAAAAATAGATCTTGATAATAAAAATCTATGTTTCATTTTTGTTGATGAGACGAGACAAAAATGGTCCTGGTGGACTGTCGAACATTAAAAGCCGAGAACGGCCGTGCTTGTAATTATCTTCAAATGCAGCATGTGCGACAGGCTGGTAAACTCCAGTAAATAGTCTGCACCAGGATGTTTGGGTTGGTGCGAGTTGTGAGCTGTAACTCAACAGTAAATAATCAGCCGTGTGTGTCTGACTGTGGATGGTGGAGCTGCTGAATGGATTTGTGGAGTTTGTTAGTTGCAGCGGTGGCTGTTAGCAGCTAGCTCCGCTCACAGACTTCACAGCTTCACCCCGCAGGACTCCACTCAGTCCGGACTGGAGAAGGTTTGTGGGTTGATGGTGTTTGACAGGCAGGTAGGAGGCTCAGTTATCTGTGAGTGTAGCTGTGCTGTAAGTAAACAGTCTGAAGTCAGATCAGTTTTCTCTGGTGATTCGATTGGTGGGTGTAGTTCGGTAGAAAGAAAATAGTTTGTGTGTGAAACTGCAGCAACAAGGTCTGTGGATTATCTTGAGTAACCAAGTCATGATTTCTGTACAGAGACATTGATGTTGAGTTTTGAGCTCCACAAGCTGAGTGTCATCTAGTTTTGTTATACTGGAGAGAAGTCAGACATCTCTACGGCCCATATCTCCAACACTCTGCAGCTCACACCAGAACTGTCTACACTGATAAACAGCTCTACAGGGAAGAGGAAAACTATGTGTTTTTAATTTTGGCGTGAACTGTCTCTTTAAAGAGATACTCTGTGGTCAGCTGACCGGTCTGACCTTTAAAATGTTGCTGTAAAATCTATTTTAAATGTTTTCTCTTTAATTGTTTCAAACCATATTGTCATTCAGCTTCAGAAACTGCTGACATTTCACCCCAAACCAACGCTGCAGACCTTCATTTCAGGGCCTACATCTAAAAGTCCATCACATCTCTCTGCTTTCTTGTTGTAATAAAATCAGTGTCCATCGGTGGTTGGTGTAAACCTCACTCACATGTGTGCCTCAGTAATGTTGTTAACCCGTTTGCTCTTTCCCTCTCTGTGCAGCCCATTGATTATGAGGGCTTCCAGCTCTTCATGACCACTTACCTGGAGAATGACATCCCAGAGGAGCTGTGTCAGCACCTCTTCACCTCCTTCAAGAGCAAAACAGGAGGCTGCTCTCCCGACCAGTCTCGGGCAGGAACAAGCTTACTGGGTAGGTTGCTTACTGCATCTTTCAACAGCACTGATCACATCATTCACAGAGATATAACCCATGGCTTTCAGTATTGTTGGATGGGAGGTTTTGAACAGGGGTCAATCTATGCTTTTTCCATAATCTTCATTTAATATAATTGACAGAATGTTCTTCTGTTGGCTTCATATTTAATCCAGAGTATTAAGGACTACATTTACTTGGCGTCGTTGAGGATCTTTGATTTGCAATTAAGCCAATCAAGATTATTATGGTATGGATTCAAATGTAGCAGATTCACCAGCGACACGTTCGTTCTGTGAACTCTACTCCTTTCAAGTGTAATAAAAAAATGGGTTTCAACATTAGGAGTGCTGTTAACGCAGAATTCTCACCCTACCTATGATATGTAACTTAGAAACAGAAACATCAGAAATGTTTTGCCTCCTTTCAGTTGGCAGAAGTGAACATTTCGTCATACTCAACATTTGCTGTTTTGGTTTGGAGACAGTTGGAGAACAGTTAGATACAAAATAGGACGTAGGCTCTACCGGATGAGTTTTGTCCTCGGCAACTGTCATGTTGCTCCCAAATTGTGTACAGACATTTAGGCATTCTGTCTCAGAGGACTTGAAAAATAGCCAGGTTATAACAAAATAAAAAAACATCACATTTTACTGTTAATCTTGTAACCGCTGAGAATATTATGACCATTTAAGCATGTAGCCCAAGTCTCTAGTATTATTTTGCTACTCTTCACCAATAGGTGCTGGTGGGACAACCCAGTTTCACTCCCAAGTCGTTGAATACCAGCGCTTGGTCAGTGACTTCTAGCGTCAGACACCGATTAAAAAAACCCGTCCTTTCACATCTGCATGATATGCAGCCTGTTGCAGTTATTGTTAAATGGTGCCTGGTGGCATCAGGGTTGAAACACAGCAGGACAACAACGAAAGTTAACGCTGCGGAAGTCCAGGTAGGGCGGGCAAGAGAGGCTGTGCTGGGTCCAACAACCACCAACCTTTACTCAGGAGGCCGGTGTTTGCTTCCCATGAGATTGTAAAGGCAAACCCTGTTCTGTTTTCCTAAACCCAACCACATGTGTATGTTGTTAAAGGGAAATTTCAGTTTATTTCAACCTGTCTCCTATCGTCCTAAATTTGTTTCAAGTGACTAGTGACATAAAAATAATAGTTAGCATGTTAGCCGTTAGCCTAGATACAGCCGGGGCGCATAGTAGCGTCAGACCTGTTAAAACATAAGTGAACGGGCAACCTTCAAGTGCAAAGTTAGTCCACTAAACAAGCTTTTTTTCCACAAAGACCGCCTCATATCGTTAAGATAAATGTCAGAGAACATATAGAAAACGACATGTAAACGTGTTCTCTTACCTTACCGGTGTGCTGCCATGTTTGTTTCCCCCCCCCCCCCCCCCCCCCCGGTTACCCCGGAGATAAACCCTCCTTTAGCATTGTTAACTATCTTATCACTGTTAACGCTGTCAGCAGTGTCAGAACGGCTAATGATGCTAACATGATGTGCAGTGCTGACAGCATGCCTGCCTTCTGGAAGCTAAAGAGACGTGAGTTGAGTTAGCTGCTAACTGCTTTTAGAAATCCTCCGGTGATAGGTGGCACACATAAAAACTTTTTTATAGATTTATTGCATCTGCTGACGTCTCAGAGGTGAAACATCTCTGCCTCTCCATTCCGTATTTGTACTTTTCATACAACGAGGCTGCCATGAGCAGACGGTGTAAAAGGGCCAAGTGATTTAACTCCTCCTGATTTACTGCAGTGTTTTTTCTAACTCGTCACCTTTGACCTTTTCTGTCTCTGTCCACACAATGCCAGGTCAGAGCAAAGCCAGACTTAGACCATTTAACAGTGACATGAAAATAGTTTGTTTAGTTTGTCTGCAATCTTTTTTGGGGTTGAGAACAAAGATTAGTGTCTACTCACTTTAATGCATGTGCAGTTCATGTGTTAGTCATGGCCGCAGCAGTTAAGTTGTCAGGCACATAGACATCAGCTGTAGACTTTGCAAAGGGTAAAAGTTCAACAAAACAGAGTGTGACTCGAAGCATCTGTAGGACATCAAGGTTTTCTTTGTGTCTGCAGAATCACTCTGACACCAGAGATGATCATGTGGACTTCTATTTTAATGCACACATTAGTCCATCTCATAATGACGCTCTTTCTTTACTCTAAAAAGAGACCAAAATCTGATTACATGAGGACTTCACACCGACCAGATCTGAAGACCGAATCTTCAGGTGTTGATCACTGTCACCCTGCTCCAGGTGCAAACTGTGTGAGCCTCGGTCCGTCCATGTGAGTGCTGTGTGGGCCGTCACGTCCTCAGTGCGGAGCAGCTGAGGAGACAGATGGACTGTTGAATTAGAAATCTATTTCTGTGGTGAAATACTTGTGGAAGTAAGAGGCAACAAGTGTAGATAGGCTGAATGTGAGTGTGTGGTTTTGGGTCGCGGCGTTGTTGCCGAGACTCACAGTGTCTCAGATCAGTTTGTGACGTCTCTGCTGTGTCGTCTGTCTTCACTGTGAGTTTTCTAATGAATGTAGAGCTGGCAGTAAAGACATCTTTTCTGTCTCTTCTGTCTCATGTATCCTCCCTTCTTTCAGAGGGTCTTTAAAACTGAAAGGTGCCCTGTGGAGTTTACTTAACAATAAACAAATGTTCATGTGTTATTAACCAAAAGGTATTGTTTGTATCCTTGAAGTCTAACAAATAAAGATGCAGTTAATGAGGAAAGTTTTAGGGCTATGACTAACACGTGTTCATTAGCGACTACTGTGACAGTTGATTCATGAATTAACTGATCAATTGAGGAAAAGCAGAGGGGCCCCAGGACAGAGCCATACTGCCAAATGTAATACTGCAAATAGAAATAAAGTTTTCTTTGGCTAAAGTGGTCCTGACTGAAATAGTAACAATGGGGACTGTAACTTTCTAGAGCTCGGTGCAGCATCTTTAAAGCCCCTACAAGGAACTTTAATTTTGAGTTGATTTTGGCGACCCTGTGGACAAAAGCGGTAGTGTTTTGCCGGAATGAAGCCTACATTTCCCATGAGCTCTAGCGTGTATTGTCGTAAAGACGCTTACCTGGCTCGCACCTGTGTTTGTTTTGGGGATGAATGAAACAACAAGACGGGAAAACTTTGCTCCCGCTCCTATCGGGGATCCCAGCTCACCTCTGCCGCGCCTCAGCTCCATCTCTTCGGCGTAAGCGCCACCGCCGCTGGGGTAAACACAGCGGTCGGCTGGTAAGGCTGAAGGCCTGTTTGGCGGGCACTTCCACGGCTTCTTGGACTGAGTATGGAGCGGTGTCTCGCCTCTTTATTTCTCGGCACTCGCTGGACCCTGTAGACGCCTGGCTGGTACCTGTCGTCAGCCCGGATGAGGTGTTCCAGCCCCGTGGCCCCTGCTCTCCTCGTCCCCGCTGGCGCGGGGTGAATCTGTGCAACCTGTGGCCTCTGTGTGTGGTTCCCGGGACAGCTAACGCCGTGGACCCGCCGGCTCCTGCCAGGATTGGGCTGGTAAATGCTAGATCACTAGCGAACAAAACGTTTATCCTGGAGGATTTCCTGACTTCCCGAGGATTGGATTTTCTCTGTGTGACTGAGACGTGGCTGACTGTTGGTGAGTCCAGTGCTTTCACAGAACTTTTACCCGATGATTGCTGCTATTTTAACTCCCCGCGGACGTCGGGTCGAGGAGGAGGAATAGCGTCTATTTATAAGAGTCACTATAAATGTAAGCAGCTAGGTAAGATGACGTGTGCCGTCTGAGTGCCGTAAATCGTTTCGTCCTGGAAGCGACCTGGGGCGGACCCGGAGACAGTTTCCTAAAGGTATGGATATACACTATATAGAAATAGCTTATCTTCACACCGATGGTCTCATTTGCTGTTGTAGGTCACGCACAGACATCAGCAGAAACCAGAGACTTTTGCATATCCAGTTAAATGTTCCTTGTAGCTGCTTTAAGTTCTTGTCTTAACCAGTTTGCCATCACAGCAGCTCAGTTGTCAGGAGAAAATGTTGGCATTGTTCGTTTCTGCAAACCTCACATACATTGCATTTGTAGGTTTCATACGAATCATATCAACGTTTCTAAAGTCACATAGTGAATGAGCTGACTTCGTCGCAGGGAGGTGGAGGTGATGGTGGAAGGTGCGTCACGTAAGCGAGACACCTGCCAAGCTGCAGACCACAGAGCAGGTTGGAGACAAACCAACAACAGAACCACTTGTGTAGCGGGTCATCGCTGTGTTCCCAGCGGCTTCTTAGACACAAGACTCAGTTGTTTTTTACCAAGAGTACGTAGATATACAGCTCATTCTATGATCAGGAGAACACAACAAGTAATATTTTCAGGGTATTATACACTAAAGAAAACATAAATATTATCTTTAATTTCTGCCAGTGTATCCCTGTAAAGCTCACACACTGGTCCTTTAAGTGGTTGGTGAGGATTCTGTGTGTTCAGGTTCTCAGAGGGAGCTCACTGACACAGCCTGCACTGACACCTGCTGGAGATCTTGTGTAACATGATGTGAGCTAGTCTGGATGCAGCTGTGTTGATTAAATCCTGGAGTATCTTCTGGGCCCAGATGTTCAGGAGTGATCTGATCGCATTGGATCTTATTTATTATTCATTTATTTGGATCCCCATCAGCCACTACCAAGCTGGCAACTACTCTTCCTGGGTCAACACAAGCAAACATGACATCATGTTGTAAAACAAATATATAATTAAAAAACCAAGGCAGACAGGATCAGAGTACAATAAAAAGACAGGAAAACATTAATCAAAAACAAACAAACAAACAAAACCAATAAATTAAGCACAATAAAACTAATAATGACAATAAATACAACAATGACAAAAATATCCTCACTAGATCTAAATTGTCCAAAAAAAACCAATAATTTTACAGCTCAAAGGTAACAGTAGTGCTGCTAAAAACAGCATCTACTGTGACTGAGAGAATGAAAAGACCAGGAGAGTTTCACATTAATGTTCATACAGTCAGATATTATCATGAGATGGGCTGGTGTCCTGTGACATCATGTATTTCTTTAACCTCTTTGTAAAAACAGCCGCACTTGTCACATGTGTGTTGTCTGGATCAGTTCTTGAAAATGAGTTTTTCAACAGGAAAAATAAAATTCTGTGTTTCTGGAGTCACATTAGATCGGTGGATCCTCACTTGTCCGGCCACAGAGTCAGTCATTAGTTCAAGGTCCACACAGTTTAATATTTTTAGCATCATACTTGCATTTGGCCATGTCGTCAAGCTGGTTAGCTGTCTCTGTCAAGTAGCTGTCTGCTAGTTTCTTACTCTACAGCAGGAAACAGTGCTTCAAATGTGCCAGAAATCACTGTACTTCAAAATAAAGTGCTTCTTTTACAAACTTGACACATATGCGAGTCACTTGTGCTCCATTCAGAGTGGACCCGCGACCCACCAGTTGGGAACCACTGCATTAGATCATGTAATCACAGTCTTGGTTTTGGCTTAAACCTTCAGTGAAACTTTTTAGTAGGATCAGGATACTCTGATGCAAAATAACATTTGCAGAAAAAAACTCCCGCACATTGTGTAACCTGCAAAAATAATGATTTTAATGCTGCAAACCCTGATGCCTGATGATAAAGGTCTAGTCACCTCAACATTGCAGCAGCATTAAAATCCTTATTTCTGCAAGTTACACAGTGTGCAGGAGTCTTTTCTACAAGTTTTATTCTTCTCGTCCCTCCCCTACGCACTGGTTTGAAAACAGATGTGGGAAGTATTCCTTAGTTTAGGGGCATTACAGTGACTGAAACAAATGTCAAATCTGCCCTCACCTGCAGGAGTGATGATTGTGACAGCATTTCATTAAACATAATTCAGCATTTACAAGTGTGTATAATTATGTGTCTGAAGCCTTTCTTGTGTCTGTGGAAAAAATCCTCAGGGAAACACTGTGGTTTGGAAATTTGCCTCAAAGTCATGAAAAGTTATATCTGTAAAAACCCTGTTTGTGAACCCTGTATGACTCTTTTTAATGTCAGTGGTGATGTAGATTATTTTATTTTTTCTTCATGTCTGAAGCTTCCAGTAGGATACGGAAATAAAATTAAAAATATTGCCTCCTGGACGACTATAAGGAACATTTCATTATATGTTTCTGCTCGTTGACAAACAGAGTCTATGTTTATGTCCACTGATGAAACATTTGAGGTAGAAACATTTTTGCTCTGGACCGAGGATAAAACCAGGCTCTTACTGTGATATATGCACTTAATTTATTCTCCTACTGATTACCTTCTTGTCTTGAGCCCCTGTGGTTTCTGTACACAGTGTCTGTTCGTATATACAGAACATAAAGATTACCTTCTCTTGGCTGATGTTCACTCATTCTTGCTGCGTCTGCCGCTGTCTGTTTTTTCCCCTCGAAACAATGACTGACCACAGAGGCCCGCTCCATTGACGCAGGCATCTCTATTCAGACCGAAGTGGCCTGTGCCCCCATTACAGGTACCTGAGCAGGCCGAGTCGCCCTCATCATCAGGGTGATGTCATCTTAATGGGACGAGAGTCCTGCTGGCTATAACCTCCTGCTCCCTTTTTGCTGTGCTCTTGTTGTGCTGGTGTGAGTTGATGGTATTTTGCCTGTGGATCAGTGGATGATTTGATGCTTTGGATGCTTTGTTTTTTCTGCTTCCTGTTTCTCTCTGCAGAGTTTTTTGGTATTTGTGGTGAAGTATTTTACAGTGTTTCTTTATGTTGCTGCTTCCAATTAACCGACTCTCTGTGCTTCTCAAATCCCCTCCCGTCGTGCTCCAGTGTTTCTATAACTTGTGTCCGACTCATTTGTCCCTTCTGTCTCTCTGTCTCTTTTATTTTATATCCGCACCTTCAGGGATGAACGGGAAGAGCATCCTGTCTGCGATGGGCCGACACACGCCGGAGCACTCCAGTGTGATGAGCACAGCGGGCTCAGGAGCCACAACCTCCCCTTGTTCATCTCGCTCCTCCTCGCAGCGTTCAGGGACAGGGGCCCACACACCTGGGGGGCCCCACCGATCCCCCTGCACCCAGGTCAAAACCTCAGAGGGCAGCAGCAGCAATGCACTGACTCCCAACGCTGGTCCTGCCAGGTCGCCGGTGTCCCCCAAACTCTCATCAGGTGAGTTTAGAGATGCTGAGATGAGACTGGAAGAGATTAGTGTCAGTTGGAGATGGTGTTTCGGCTGATTCAATCTCACTTTAGTTTTATTCATAAAGCCTAATATCACATATCACAGTTTGTCTCAGAGGGCTTTACAACATCCAAATCCTCAGAGCGGACACTCCAAATAAACTTGACTGTCAGTGTATCAATTACTCACCTGAATTCTGTGGTCAACGGAGAATCCAAAAACAGGGGAAACTCTACCAGCCTGCTTCCAGTGTGTTATTTTGGGACTTTGGTGAATCCAAACTAACCAGAGCTGTCATGGACGTTTTCACAGGCAGGTGCTCAAGTGGGAAAAAGGGCATCTCTTCTATAATTTTATTTTTGTTTCCACACATGAAGTGCTGGTGAAAAAAAAGTTTGCATGCAAAGTGCATCCTGCTGGGAGGTTTGTGTCTGCCAGCACCAGAGGGTTTCTTGAGGCCTCAGTACACACAGTACATTTGGTCCCAGCTTACAATACGAGGTGTCTTAAGATCTATACTATACACACCTCGCAGCTGCTACACATACACACTGTCAATTATTACATTTGTCCTTTATTCATAACAGCCAACAGCAAAGAAAACAATGTCACACTGTGCACACTTTAATGGTCTACAGAGTAAATAAACATCACAATCAAGAAATGTACACACAAAGTTGAAAAATTCTGTTCTCTGAAAGGAAGTAGGAACAAAGGGAATAATCATGATAAACTGAAATTTCATTACAAAGGAAGTTCTTTTAATGATACGTTTTAAATGAAAATGTAAAAAAGGGGAAAAGAAGAAAGTAAAATTAAATAATAGCTGAACACACAATATGCAGTTTAATTTCAGATATCTGATACACTTTTTTAAATGATATTAAACAACTTGTGTGCTTTTATTCCTTTTTATTTTAGGTACAATTCAAATTCATTTAATGAAAAAAATTTGGGGGATCTGGTATATAGTTACATTACAACAGAGTTCATTATTTTAGTTTTGCAAGATACATTTTTAGCAAATGTAATATTGTCTCTAGAGACAGAGGCTGGAAGAGATGACACATTTTGTTTTATCTTATCTAGGGATGCACGATATGGCATTTTTCGCCGATATTGTATATGCTGAAATATAACAACTCATTCGACCGATTACTGATACCGATATATCCACTTATTTCCCTCCTAATTTCATCAGGTCTCTTCTGTAGTGAATTAACATCATATTATACACACAGACTCTCATGGTGACGACCCACCAGCAGATGGAGACATGAAACACTGTTCAGTATCTGTGATATTCAGTCAGTTCATTTTATAGCTGGTATTATCGTGCATCCCTAGTTTTATCCATTTGTGAATATCAAGCCAAAATGTAAAACCTTAACTCATGGAAGAGGACCTAACTTGTAATACAGATGTAAATGGCTCATGTTAAGGTCACCAGAACTCAGCAGTTCTCATTTCCAGGTGCTTATAAACTACACTGAACAAAAATATAAACGCAACACTTTTGTTTTTGCTCCCATTTTTCATGAGCTGAACTCAAAGATCTAAAACATTTTCTATACACACAAAAGACCATTTCCCTCAAATATTGTTCACAAATCTGTCTAAATCTGTGTTAGTGAGCACTTCTCCTTTGCCGAGATAATCCATCCCACCTCACAGGTGTGGCATATCAAGATGCTGATTAGACAGCATGATTATTGCACAGGTGTGCCTTAGGCTGGCCACAATAAAAGGCCACTCTGAAATGTTCAGTTTTATCACACAGCACAATGCCACAAATGTCGCAAGTTTTGAGGGAGCGTGCAGTTGGCATGCTGACTGCAGGAATGTCCACCAGAGCTGTTGCCTGTGAATTGAATGTTCATTTCTCTACCATAAGCCGTCTCCAAAGGCGTTTCAGACAATTTGGCAGTACATCCAACCGGCCTCACAACCACAGACCACGTGTAACCACACCAGCCCAGGACCTCCACATCCAGCATGTTCACCTCCAAGATCGTCTGAGACCAGCCACCCGGACAGCTGCTGCAACAATCGGTTTGCATAACCAAAGAATTTCTGCACAAACTGTCAGAAACCGTCTCAGGGAAGCTCATCTGCATGCTTGTCGTCCTCATCGGGGTCTCGACCTGACTGCAGTTCGTCGTCGTAACCGACTTGAGTGGGCAAATGCTCACATTCGATGGCGTCTGGCACGTTGGAGAGGTGGTCTCTTCACGGATGAATCCCGGTTTTCACTGTTCAGGGCAGATGGCAGACAGCGTGTGTGGCGTCGTGTGGGTGAGCGGTTTGCTGATGTCAACGTTGTGGATGGAGTGGCCCATGGTGGCGGTGGGGTTATGGTATGGGCAGGCGTATGTTATGGACAACGAACACAGGTGCATTTTATTGATGGCATTTTGAATGCACAGAGATACCGTGACGAGATCCTGAGGCCCATTGTTGTGCCATTCGTCCACGACCATCACCTCATGTTGCAGCATGATAATGCACGGCCCCATGTTGCAAGGATCTGTACACAATTCCTGGAAGCTGAAAACATCCCAGTTCTTGCATGGCCAGCATACTCACCGGACATGTCACCCATTGAGCATGTTTGAGATGCCCTGGATCGGCGTATACGACAGCGTGTTCCAGTTCCTGCCAATATCCAGCAACTTGGCACAGCCATTGAAGAGGAGTGGACCAACATTCCACAGGCCACAATCAACAACCTGATCAACTCTATGCGAAGGAGATGTGTTGCACTGCGTGAGGCAAATGGTGGTCACACCAGATACTGACTGGTTTTCTGATCATCTTGATATGCCACACCTGTGAGGTGGGATGGATTATCTCGGCAAAGGAGAAGTGCTCACTAACACAGATTTAGACAGATTTGTGAACAATATTTGTGAGAAATGGTCTTTTGTGTGTATAGAAAATGTTTTAGATCTTTGAGTTCAGCTCATGAAAAATGGGAGCAAAAACAAAAATGTGTTTATATTTTTGTTCAGTGTAATAAAAACTAAATTATGAATATTATATTCCATTTCTGGCAACATAGACCGCTAAATCCTAAACACTGGACCTTTAATCACTGAGTGAAATTTAATGGAAAGGAGAGAAAGAGGGCTGAGAACCTAAACACCTAACTTCCCCACTCATGTTGTCACAGTAACAAATAGCATCTTTGAGAGTGAAACTGTGAATAACATCAGTGGTATTGAAAACATGAGACCAAAGTGTCAGTATTGTTTTACACTGATAGGATAAATGGGTGGATGTTTGTTGCTTCTGGTCTTCCCCGTCACATGACCTCCTGTTGTTTTGGTCAGCAGCCTGCGTCCTCTGTGTGCTCACTGTAAATAGTGTTTTGTCGACCTGTTCTCCGCGGCTCTGTTTTGTCTCTGACTGCTGCACTGGGACCAGAGTTCTCTCAAACTGTCACACTCACACTTTAATATCTAATCTACTGCTGATTTGACTTGAGTCCTGTCGTTAATGTCACCAGAGGAACCACAGCAGAGTCTGATGTGAGTAACTTGTGCTGTGTGTCCACAGAGAGGAGCCACTCTGAGAAGCACTTGTCACTGCGGAGGAGCCCGTCGCCCCAGAAAGGCTCCCCCCTGCCGTCGCCCCAGGTGGTGTTCCTCAAGGACATCGTCTGCTACCTGTCCCTGCTGGAGAGGGGGACGCCGGAGGACAAGCTGGAGTGTGAGTGATGGGGACGGGGTGACATGGGCGGAGGGAGTCGGAGCAGCTGTCATGTGCAATATGTGTGTATATGTGCTCTCATGTCAGCTCAGGGTGACAGCCAGAGTAATAAGGCTGTTCCCTGTCTCCCCAGGGCTGCAGATACGGTGCTTACACCTCCCACACAGGGCAGGTCACTGACATGCTTAAGCCCTGCTGTGCCCAATTGACTTCTTTAGTGTCAAAGGCTATATTGGAGCGCACTGACAAGGCTAATCTCTGCTAACTGGTCCCCATGCTTTAGTACAGAAGTAGCACGCTCCACTTCTTTAACCCTGTGGCCATCTGGAGAGAGTCCAGGAACAAATGTTACAGCTTCACAGAGCTACTAATTATCTGACGCTGTCCGAGTCACCATGGGATCTCTGCTCTCTCCTTTCCCTCTAGTCATGTTCCGGCTCTACGACACAGACGGCAACGGGGTTCTGGACAGCTCGGTGAGTGTCTCTCCTTGCTTTTGTATCTCCCTCTCTTCCCTTTCTCTGTCTCTCCCCCTCCTCCTCCCCCCCCTCCTCCTCCTCCTCCTCCTCCTCTCTTCATCTTCCTCTCTGCGTCTGGTCTCAGTGTTTGCCCTTTGCACACAGCAGCTCTCAGAATAGACACTCAGTGACAACAGTTGTGTTTACATGAGATCATTTGTAGATGGTTCTCTTCACTTTAGTACCAGCCATGTGCCGAGGAGATCACATAAACACACGTGAACATGTTAGAGATGCAGAGATACAGCACACACACACACACACACACACACACACTGTGGTACTTTTTACTTAACATTTCTGATGCCTGTCCTCCATCTTTGAAATGAATGAGATGTTATTATTTGAGCAGAAGATGAAGCTGGGACCTCTTTGTAGTCTGTTTGTGTCTCTTTGTAGTTGTTTGTGTCTCTTTGTAGTTGTTTGTGTCTGTTTGTTGTTGTTTGTGTCTCTTTGTAGTTGTTTGTGTCTCTTTGTTGTTGTTTGTGTCTGTTTGTAGTTGTTTGTGTCTCTTTGTAGTTGTTTGTGTCTGTTTGTTGTTGTTTGTGTCTCTTTGTAGTTGTTTGTGTCTCTTTGTAGTTGTTTTTGTCTGTTTGTGGTCACTTTGTGTCTCTTTATAGTTGTTTGTGTCTCTTTGTGGTTGTTTTTGTCTGTTTGTAGTCTGTTTGTGTCTCTTTGTAGTTGTTTGTGTCTCTTTGTAGTCTGTTTGTGTCTCTTTGTAGTTGTTTGTGTCTCTTTGTAGTTGTTTGTGTCTGTTTGTTGTTGTTTGTGTCTCTTTGTAGTTGTTTGTGTCTCTTTGTAGTTGTTTGTGTCTCTTTGTAGTTGTTTGTGTCTCTTTGTAGTTGTTTGTGTCTGTTTGTAGTTGTTTGTGTCTCTTTGTAGTTGTTTGTGTCTCTTTGTTGTTGTTTGTGTCTCTTTGTTGTTGTTTGTGTCTCTTTGTAGTTGTTTTTGTCTGTTTGTGGTCACTTTGTGTCTCTTTATAGTTGTTTGTGTCTCTTTGTGGTTGTTTTTGTCTGTTTGTAGTTGTTTGTGTCTCTTTGTAGTTGTTTTTGTCTGTTTGTAGTTGTTTGTGTCTCTTTGTAGTTATTTTGTGTCTCTTTATAGTTGTTTTTGTCTGTTTGTGGCCATTTTGTGTCTCTTTGTTGTTGTTTGTGTCTCTTTGTAGTTGTCTGCGTCTGTTTGTAGTTGTTTTTGTCTGTTTGTGGTCACTTTGTGTCTCTTTATAGTTGTTTGTGTCTGTTTGTGGTCATTTTGTGTCTCCTTCTAGTTGTTTGTGTCTCTTTGTAGTTGTTTTTGTCTGTTTGTAGTTGTTTGTGTCTCTTTGTAGTTGTTTTTGTCTGTTTGTTGTTGTTTGTGTCTCTTTATAGTTGTTTGTGTCTCTTTGTTGTTGTTTGTGTCTCTTTGTAGTTTTTGTCTGTTTGTAGTTGTTTGTGTGTCTTTATGGTTAGTTTGTGTGTCTTTGTAGTTATTTTGTGTCTCTTTGTGGTTAGTTTCTGTGTCTTTGTAGTTATTTTGTGTCTCTTTAGAGTTGTTTTTGTCTGTTTGTGGTCATTTTGTGTCTCTTTGTAGCTGTTTTATGTCTCTTTGTAGTTGTTTGTGTCTGTTTGTAGTTGTTTGTGTCTCTTTGTAGTTATTCTGTATCTCTTTATAGTTGTTTTTGTCTGTTTGTGGTCATTTTGTGTCTCTTTGTAGTTGTTTGTGTCTCTTTGTAGTTGTTTTTGTCTGTTTGTAGTTGTTTGTGTCTCTTTGTAGTTGTTTTTGTCTGTTTGTGGTCACTTTGTGTCTCTTTATAGTTGTTTGTGTCTCTTTGTGGTTGTTTTTGTCTGTTTGTAGTTGTTTGTGTCTCTTTGTAGTTGTTTTTGTCTGTTTGTAGTTGTTTGTGTCTCTTTGTAGTTATTTTGTGTCTCTTTATAGTTGTTTTTGTCTGTTTGTGGCCATTTTGTGTCTCTTTGTTGTTGTTTGTGTCTCTTTGTAGTTGTCTGCGTCTGTTTGTAGTTGTTTTTGTCTGTTTGTGGTCACTTTGTGTCTCTTTATAGTTGTTTGTGTCTGTTTGTGGTCATTTTGTGTCTCCTTCTAGTTGTTTGTGTCTCTTTGTAGTTGTTTTTGTCTGTTTGTAGTTGTTTGTGTCTCTTTGTAGTTGTTTTTGTCTGTTTGTTGTTGTTTGTGTCTCTTTATAGTTGTTTGTGTCTCTTTGTTGTTGTTTGTGTCTCTTTGTAGTTTTTGTCTGTTTGTAGTTGTTTGTGTGTCTTTATGGTTAGTTTGTGTGTCTTTGTAGTTATTTTGTGTCTCTTTGTGGTTAGTTTCTGTGTCTTTGTAGTTATTTTGTGTCTCTTTAGAGTTGTTTTTGTCTGTTTGTGGTCATTTTGTGTCTCTTTGTAGCTGTTTTATGTCTCTTTGTAGTTGTTTGTGTCTGTTTGTAGTTGTTTGTGTCTCTTTGTAGTTATTCTGTATCTCTTTATAGTTGTTTTTGTCTGTTTGTGGTCATTTTGTGTCTCTTTGTAGTTGTTTGTGTCTCTTTGTAGTTGTTTTTGTCTGTTTGTAGTTGTTTGTGTCTCTTTGTAGTTGTTTTTGTCTGTTTGTGGTCACTTTGTGTCTCTTTATAGTTGTTTGTGTCTCTTTGTGGTTGTTTTTGTCTGTTTGTAGTTGTTTGTGTCTCTTTGTAGTTGTTTTTGTCTGTTTGTAGTTGTTTGTGTCTCTTTGTAGTTATTTTGTGTCTCTTTATAGTTGTTTTTGTCTGTTTGTGGCCATTTTGTGTCTCTTTGTTGTTGTTTGTGTCTCTTTGTAGTTGTCTGCGTCTGTTTGTAGTTGTTTTTGTCTGTTTGTGGTCACTTTGTGTCTCTTTATAGTTGTTTGTGTCTGTTTGTGGTCATTTTGTGTCTCCTTCTAGTTGTTTGTGTCTCTTTGTAGTTGTTTTTGTCTGTTTGTAGTTGTTTGTGTCTCTTTGTAGTTGTTTTTGTCTGTTTGTTGTTGTTTGTGTCTCTTTATAGTTGTTTGTGTCTCTTTGTTGTTGTTTGTGTCTCTTTGTAGTTTTTGTCTGTTTGTAGTTGTTTGTGTGTCTTTATGGTTAGTTTGTGTGTCTTTGTAGTTATTTTGTGTCTCTTTGTGGTTAGTTTCTGTGTCTTTGTAGTTATTTTGTGTCTCTTTAGAGTTGTTTTTGTCTGTTTGTGGTCATTTTGTGTCTCTTTGTAGCTGTTTTATGTCTCTTTGTAGTTGTTTGTGTCTGTTTGTAGTTGTTTGTGTCTCTTTGTAGTTATTCTGTATCTCTTTATAGTTGTTTTTGTCTGTTTGTGGTCATTTTGTGTCTCTTTGTAGTTGTTTGTGTCTCTTTGTAGTTGTTTTTGTCTGTTTGTAGTTGTTTGTGTCTCTTTGTAGTTGTTTTTGTCTGTTTGTGGTCACTTTGTGTCTCTTTATAGTTGTTTGTGTCTCTTTGTGGTTGTTTTTGTCTGTTTGTAGTTGTTTGTGTCTCTTTGTAGTTGTTTTTGTCTGTTTGTAGTTGTTTGTGTCTCTTTGTAGTTATTTTGTGTCTCTTTATAGTTGTTTTTGTCTGTTTGTGGCCATTTTGTGTCTCTTTGTTGTTGTTTGTGTCTCTTTGTAGTTGTCTGCGTCTGTTTGTAGTTGTTTTTGTCTGTTTGTGGTCACTTTGTGTCTCTTTATAGTTGTTTGTGTCTGTTTGTGGTCATTTTGTGTCTCCTTCTAGTTGTTTGTGTCTCTTTGTAGTTGTTTTTGTCTGTTTGTAGTTGTTTGTGTCTCTTTGTAGTTGTTTTTGTCTGTTTGTTGTTGTTTGTGTCTCTTTATAGTTGTTTGTGTCTCTTTGTTGTTGTTTGTGTCTCTTTGTAGTTTTTGTCTGTTTGTAGTTGTTTGTGTGTCTTTATGGTTAGTTTGTGTGTCTTTGTAGTTATTTTGTGTCTCTTTGTGGTTAGTTTCTGTGTCTTTGTAGTTATTTTGTGTCTCTTTAGAGTTGTTTTTGTCTGTTTGTGGTCATTTTGTGTCTCTTTGTAGCTGTTTTATGTCTCTTTGTAGTTGTTTGTGTCTGTTTGTAGTTGTTTGTGTCTCTTTGTAGTTATTCTGTATCTCTTTATAGTTGTTTTTGTCTGTTTGTGGTCATTTTGTGTCTCTTTGTAGTTGTTTGTGTCTCTTTGTAGTTGTTTTTGTCTGTTTGTAGTTGTTTGTGTCTCTTTGTAGTTGTTTTTGTCTGTTTGTGGTCACTTTGTGTCTCTTTATAGTTGTTTGTGTCTCTTTGTGGTTGTTTTTGTCTGTTTGTAGTTGTTTGTGTCTCTTTGTAGTTGTTTTTGTCTGTTTGTAGTTGTTTGTGTCTCTTTGTAGTTATTTTGTGTCTCTTTATAGTTGTTTTTGTCTGTTTGTGGCCATTTTGTGTCTCTTTGTTGTTGTTTGTGTCTCTTTGTAGTTGTTTGTGTCTCTTTGTTGTTGTTTGTGTCTGTTTGTAGTTGTTTGTGTCTCTTTGTAGTTGTTTGTGTCTCTTTGTTGTTGTTTGTGTCTCTTTGTAGTTGTTTGTGTCTCTTTGTAGTTGTTTTTGTCTGTTTGTGGTCACTTTGTGTCTCTTTATAGTTGTTTGTGTCTCTTTGTGGTTGTTTTTGTCTGTTTGTAGTTGTTTGTGTCTCTTTGTAGTTGTTTTTGTCTGTTTGTAGTTGTTTGTGTCTCTTTGTAGTTATTTTGTGTCTCTTTATAGTTGTTTTTGTCTGTTTGTGGCCATTTTGTGTCTCTTTGTTGTTGTTTGTGTCTCTTTGTAGTTGTCTGCGTCTGTTTGTAGTTGTTTTTGTCTGTTTGTGGTCACTTTGTGTCTCTTTATAGTTGTTTGTGTCTGTTTGTGGTCATTTTGTGTCTCCTTCTAGTTGTTTGTGTCTCTTTGTAGTTGTTTTTGTCTGTTTGTAGTTGTTTGTGTCTCTTTGTAGTTGTTTTTGTCTGTTTGTTGTTGTTTGTGTCTCTTTATAGTTGTTTGTGTCTCTTTGTTGTTGTTTGTGTCTCTTTGTAGTTTTTGTCTGTTTGTAGTTGTTTGTGTGTCTTTATGGTTAGTTTGTGTGTCTTTGTAGTTATTTTGTGTCTCTTTGTGGTTAGTTTCTGTGTCTTTGTAGTTATTTTGTGTCTCTTTGTAGTTATTTTGTATCTCTTTGTGGTTAGTTTCTGTGTCTTTGTAGTTATTTTGTGTCTCTTTATAGTTGTTTTTGTCTGTTTGTGGTCATTTTGTGTCTCTTTGTAGCTGTTTTGTGTCTCTTTGTAGTTGTTTTTGTCTGTTTGTGGTCACTTTGTGTCTCTTTATAGTTGTTTGTGTCTCTTTGTGGTTAGTTCCTGTGTCTTTGTAGTTATTTTGTATCTCTTTGTAGTTGTTTGTGTCTCTTTGTAGTTGTTTTGTGTCTCTTTGTAGTTGTTTTTGTCTGTTTGTGGTCATTTTGTGTCTCTTTGTAGTTGATTTTGTCTGTTTGTGGTCACTTTGTATCTCTTTGTGGTTAGTTGCTGTGTCTTTGTTGTTATTTTGCATCTCTTTGTAGTTGTTTTGTGTCTCTTTGTAGTTGTCTGTGGTCATTTTGTGTCTCTTTATAGTTGTTTTGGTCTCTTTGCAGTTAGTTTGTGTCTCTGTGTGGTTGTTTGTGTCTGTTGTCAATTTATGTCTCTTTGTGGTCAATTTATGTGTCCTAGTGTCTCTTTTTGCATTGCTTTGTAGTTGTTTGTGTCTCTTTGTAGTCATATTGTGTCTCTTTGAGTCTGTTTGTGTCTCTTTGCAGTTTGTTTGTGTCTCTTTGAGTCTGTTTTTGTCTCTTTGTAGTTAGTTTGTGTCTCTTTGAGTCTGTTTTTGTCTCTTTGTAGTTGTTTGTGTCTCTTTGTAGTTAGTTTGTGTCTCTTTGAGTCTGTTTTTGTCTCTTTGTAGTCATATTGTGTCTCTTTGAGTCTATTTGTGTTTGAGTCATTCCATGTCTCTTAATGTTTGTTTTGCCTCTTTTCGTAGTCACTGTGAGACTCTTTGAATCTCTTTGTGTTGTTCTTTCTGGTGTCTGTTCGAGTGATATATTGCAGGTAAAGGCTGGGGGCCCCTGACACTTAAGGCCCCGGGGCCCTGTGCCCAGTAGGCCCGTTCAGTAATCCGTCCATGCTGTGACTCATATCATTTATCATTTGTCTTTATTTCTGTAGGAGCTCGATCGCATCATCAATCAGATGGTCCATGTGGCAGAGTATCTGGAGTGGGACTCAACAGAGCTGCGACCGGTGAGCAAACACACGCTGTGTCTCAGCTGCAATAAAGTCTGAAGTGAAAACAGGAAGAGAAAAGTAAACAGGCCCCTCTGTCAAGGTTTTCTCGTTATTTACTTGCCTGTAATGGCAGCGGAAAAACCTCAAGTGACACCCAGAGGGATTTATAGGTCCAAGAATATAGGAAAATAACCTACAAATACAAACGAGTGGCTTGTCAGAGGAAAGCTCCTGTTCTCCTGATCTGTAGTCTGTTATTTGCATTCTGCAGTGAAATCTACAGCTGCAACATTTAATCAATTAGTTACCAACCATGAGTATAATCGCCATATAACTTGATCATTGATAAATCAGTTTATTAGTATTTTTTTTTTTAAGAAAGAAAGAAGTCAAAATTCCTTGGTTCACTGGTTCACTGTTCCTCTGACTTTGGTTTGAACAACTTTATGTATGTTTCTCTGTCACTGTAGATACTGAAGGAGATGATGGAGGAGATCGACTACGACAGAGACGGGACGGTCACACTGGAGGAGTGGATCAGAGGAGGCCTCACCACCATCCCTTTACTGGTCCTGCTGGGCATGGAGACGGTACGTATGAGTGTGTGAGGTGTGTGTGTGTAACTTTTTTTTTTTTTTGACATCTCAAATCCTGCGCTCTCACTGGCTGCTGTGAGATCAGTTCTCAGTCAGCAGCTCTGATTGAAAGCTACCAGTGTGTTTCTCTTGAAGTTTATGTTCATGTGGTTCTGTCAGTGCCACTATGTTTGCTGCTTTTACTTCATTATCTCTGCCAACGAGGTGATGTTTCATTTTGATTCGAGCCCTGACGGCACACTGTGGCGTCTCTATTAGCTGCACCAGGCTTCACCTAACTCCAATGTAAATACGTCTGCAGCAATATTTGATGCTCAGAGAAACGGACGTAATATAAAGAGCGAGAAAGTCTGCATAGAGGTGTAGAATGGGTCAAACAAACACGGACTTTCATTCAGGAGACAGCTGTCCCGTGTGAAACCAAAAGTTACGTACGTAGCTTAGGTCCGTCATGGACTTACATCCCTTGCATGACATGTTACCATCACATACTCATTTTAACCCAAAAATGTTTTGGCTCCTGAGGGGAGGGGCAAATCAGAGAGAGTCGTCACACTCTGAACTTTACTCTGCTCTTTGTTGTCTCAGGACTTTGTGCTCTGACAGTGAAGATGGATCAAATCTACTTACATGAAATCATGTTTAACTGAGCTGCTTTCAAACATGGATCATTTACAGCACACATGTAAAGTGCAATAACTCAAATCCTGTGAAGACGAGCAGCTAAAAGGGACGTTGTGATGTTTCATCTGTTCTTTGTCTCCCTGTAGAACGTACAGGAGGACGGGCAGCATGTTTGGCGTCTGAAGCACTTCAACAAACCAGCCTACTGTAACTACTGCCATACCATGCTGCTCGGAGTACGCAAGCAGGGCCTCAGCTGCTCCTGTGAGTCCGTCTGTCTCTCTGTTTCCGTCTCTCTTCCTCTTCCTCTCCAACCCTGTTATCACCTCTGTCTGTTCCTCCATCTTTATCTGTTTCCCCTCTTTCCTCCCATCTGCATCTGACTCAAATTGAAGTTGTTTGTTGAGCCCGAGTGCATCTGAGTCAATGTTGTTTTTCAATTAAAAGTCCTCACAGTCGTCATTAAAAAAACATTAACAACATTATCGTGTGTAATTTCATCACTGATTGAGCTCTGCCGGGGAGCGGCTCTCCAGGCTGATGTTACTGTCACAGCTGATTGAAGCACTCACGCACTGAAATTATCTTTAATGTGGTAAAGTTTGTATCCCCTGCAAACCTTGCTTTTACTCGTAGCTGTTACAGTGAGTCACAACCAGTGAGTGTAAGAGGATCACATTAAATATTAGAGACGAGGAATATGTGGAGCGCCTGTGCGTCTTGTTTGTGATGTAAAGTATTCACTGCTGTTGTTGTTTTCCCACAGTATGCAAGTACACAGTGCACGAACGCTGTGTGTCCAAAGACATCGCCGCCTGCATCAGCACCTACGCCAAGTCACGTAGACACACCAACGTGAGTATGAACACATGAAAGGCTTCATTCTGCACACGAAGCGCCGTGCTGATGACATGGGCTGATGCTGCAGGGGATCAGGACGGGAACACTGACCAGTCTGTTTCACAGATTCCCACTGGCTCGTGGTTGTGTTTAACAGAGCAGCGAGGATCATGGGATGCTGTGTGAGGTCATGCAGGGCTTCTTATCTGCTCAATACCCTCTGTATTTTAGTTTTGATATAATTAGGCTCTGCAGAATGATTTCTCTGGCTCGGGTCACATGCTGGTTCGTCTGCAGAGATTTAGCTGTTCTTCAGTTTTGGCAAAAACATCCTCCTGTCAGAAATCAGCTGACAGATGATTAATCATCAGATCCTCTCATACTTGTTTAAGTAATTTATGAGACAAAAACGTCAAACATTTGCCTTTCAAGTTTCTCACAATGTGAAGATTTTCCCTTTATAAATCCCTCCGACAAAATGAGCCACTTGAAGAACTGACCTTTTTGTACTTTTTATGGGGATACTTTTTGATGTCTATAGATTAATCCATAATGAAAGTTTTCATTAAAGCTCCAGTGTGTAGCATTTAGGGGGATATATATATGTTGGCAGAAATGGAATATAATATAATAAGTATGTTTTCTTTAGTGTGTAATCAGCTGAAAATAAGAATTTTCATGTTTTTGTTACCTTAGAATGAGACGTTTATATCTGCGTAGGAAGCTGAGACCATTTGCACTCCTGAAGTGTGACACTTAAAAAGCTTAATTTCTCCTTAGCTCCTTAGGAGACTATTAAGTCTCCTTAGGACTCACACAGTTGGACAGAATCCCTTAAGAGGTTTCCTTAGTTAAGGGAAAACTTTAACTCATTTACTGTGTTGAAATAGATTTCACAGCAATAAAAGTTTCCATGGAGATTTGTTTGCTTGGTTTCATGCTTGTGACGCCTGTTATCGTCTCACAGAGTTAGATCTCACAGTTAGAGGGTGAAAAAATGGTAGAGGAAATGACGACAAGAAAACCAGACAGGTCGGAGGAGGAAGAGATGAAACTTCTGGAGGAATACAATCAGAGAAAGAACAAATTACAAAATAAATTTGATCCCCAGATACCAGAAAACAGAAAAAGACTGTAACAAAAATGAATTTAGTCAAATCAAGTGCAATCCATCGGGTACACTCTGCTCAGGGGGTGTTAGTTTTGTATTTATCACCATAATCTGCCATGTTGCAGTTAAGACAGAGTCAGAGGGACTCAGTGGTCTCAGGATTCCTTAAGTGTAAGACCAAGACAAGGAGAAAACCAGAAATGCTTAAGGGAACATTTTCAGGAAACCTTAAGGAGAAGACTTAAGGATGTTTTGTGAGATCGATTTCACAATGAGGAAACCTTAACTAGGACTTTAAGGAGGATCTTAACTTAAGGTGTTTAGTGCAACCGACCCCTGGTCCTCTACAGAGATCCACCATGTTGCACCGCCATGTTTCTACAGTAGCTCAGAGCAGACAAACCAAACACCGGCTCTAGACAAGGCGAATGGTGCTTTCACATTCTTGTGTTGGCCCCTGTAGTTAGCAGCCGCTCCGCCACGAGTGCCTCAGAAAAACAGATTTTTTTTTAACATGAAACTCTTTTATTCTGTGTTTTTACTGGTTAACATCAGCAGGTCAATTTGTTTTGGAGACAAAGAGCAAAGAGACCTTTGTGTTTAATTCAGCTCCCTGTAAAAACCTTCTGAGCAACAAACACTGAAGGAATTCTGACCAGGAGAAGCTTCAGCTGGTTGCAGTCTGCAGTTCTCACCACTAGATGCCACCAAATCCCCCTAAATCTGACACGCTGCTCCTTTAATTGCAGCCCTAAAGCTTTGGTTCTCACAACTCAAAAGCAGGTCACAGCTTGTGTGTCCACTTGTCTTGTTTTTACGTCTTTTGACTCTAAACAAGAACAAAGACGTCTGTGCATCGTGTGCAACAGACTTCTTGCAGAAAGCTTGAAGGCAGTTTATTCGGCAAAGCAGCCGCATGTCTCAGATTGTTATTTTCCTAATGTTATTTTGAGCTACTTCCCTTTTGATTCAGCTGCATTACGTTTGAGTTTAAACCAAGATTTTATTGTTTGTTACATGTTTTAACAGCGTGTGAGAGTTTTGTGGAAAACTGTTAAATCTTGACTTACAGCTGTAGTTAGTAACTTTTATATTTGTAACTATTTGCTGAAACTGTCACTACATCCACACAGTTGTACCTGAGACAGATGATCCCTCTGCCTCTTTGCATTGCTTCTAATGACATCTGCAAGAATCCACTGCAACTGAACGAAAACCAATCAGAGCCGAGGAGTCTCTAACGCAGCTGTTGATCACTGCTCATGAAACTGTCAAACGAGGCAGCGCTGATCAATATGAATCAAAACTCTGTTCCTTCAGTGTTAAACATGTGTTATTAGTGTACTGTTTAGATGTTAATAAGAAAGTTTGTGACCCGGCCACCATGTTGGAAACAGTCGAGCCAAAATGAAGCACAGCCATAAACCTCTTTCTACAGCTAAACTCAAGCAGCGCTCACTCTGCAGCTGCATCTGGGGACTGACACGTCCTCAGCAGTACACTGCACTCTGACTGACCAAAGAAACACGACTGCTTGACTTGAAGAATCTCAGCTGACTGAGGGGTTTCGACGATCGTTGACTTCCAGGAGACAGTCTTAATTGTGTTTAAATCTTAATGAATTAAAAAATGCTATAACTGGAACTAGTAAATGTCAAACAACACTGAATTCTGATTTGGATTTGTTTCTTCTCGCCCCCTCCAGGCTATGCAGCATGTGTGGATGGAGGGAAACTCTCCGACAAAGTGCGACCGCTGTCACAGAAGCATCAAGTGTTACCAGGGCCTGACGGGGCTGCACTGTGTCTGGTGTCAGATCACTGTGAGTTTGTGTGTACAAGTCTCTCTGGCTGAGTTTTTGTCTTTTTCATTAGTTTTTTTATTTCAATTTTTGTTTTCAGTTCAGCTAGTTTCCAGACTGAATTTGCTTGTTTCAGTTTAATTTTATTGTTTTAAAATATTTTATTTTCATGCCTCCACGCCAGCGATAGCCATGGTCAGAGGGCCAAGTTTTCAGACTGTCCGTCTATCCGTCCGTCTGTTCTGTTCTCATGAACGTGATACAATGAGCTGATTAGACTCTGATGGTCTGTGGAGGTCACTGTGACCTTGCGTCTGACTCATTTCGTGAACATGATTTCTGAAGAAGGCCTTGAAGGACACAAACATCCACTTGGACTCAAAAATGAACTGAATATAATTCTGCGTTTTAAGGTCAAAGGTCACTGTGACCTCACTTCGTTAATTATGACATAATTTCACACAAATGTTGTACAGGATAAAATGATGAAGGGATCAGATTTTATATCTAAAATTGCTCATTTAACTTTAGTTTTTAATGTTTTATTTATGTATTTTCATAGTTTATTAGTTTTAGTTTTAGTTTTACTTTAACTTTATTGTTTTAACAGATTTGACCAAACTGACGAAGACTAAAAGACATTTCCTGTGTATTTTAATTTATTTTAGTTTTTAACTACACAGTATTGTTTCAGTTAGTTTTCAGTTTCTTTCAGTTAACTAAAATGTTTTTTCACACCTTTTATTTTGGTTTTTGTCAACTATAATAACCTCGATTGGGACACTGACTAACACTCAGTTTATTATATACACCAAGCTAAAACTAATGCAGTTTAATACGACCATCCTGCAGTAAATCCTCTCATCGTGACGGTTATAATGTGTAATGTTCTGTATGGTCGTGGTCGGTCAACACCTCTGAAAAAGGCTGAACGTTTCAGTCATGATGAAATATTTACTGCAGGACTGTTGGATTAGACTGTTTTAGTTTAGCTAGGTGTTCCTAATAAACTGACCAGAGACAAACCTAACTTTAACCTTAACTCTTGTTACCCAAGCCTCAAATATTGACCCTAAAATGTGATGGTTTCCTCCGTGTGGATCAGCCTTCAGTGAATAACACTAACACACACACACACACACACACACACACACACACACACACACACACACACATATGACTTGCATTTCCTTTCAGATCCACTAGATGTCGCCGCTGACCTGCTGAACATTAACCCTGCTCTCACAGTCACACAGCAGTTTGTCTCATTTCAGCGTTTAATTATTCAGCGCAGAAAAACAAATGAAACTTTTTGATTGATGCTGTGTCACCGTGTGACAGGCCGTACTGTACACACACACACACACACACACACACACACACACACCGTCCGCACAAACAACCTGAAAGCGAAGCGTTTGATTCTGCTAACGTTTGATACACTGAGTCCCACAGATGGATTTACGCCCACAGTTCTTATGTTTGTGCTTCTGCTCTCCTCCGTAGCTCCATAATAAGTGTGCATCTAATGTGAAGCCTGAGTGTGATGGAGGCGCCTTGAGGGACCACACTCTGTTGCCCTCGTACATCTGCCCCGTTGTCTTGGTGAGGATGCTTTTTTCTCTGCTCTCCACACACTGTACGACTGGGACTGCGCTCACTTCCACGCATGAAGGAGGAATAGTTTGGTTTCAGCATTACATCATTCACTAAAAAAATCATTTTCAGAGTGTGTGAGCTGACTGCATGTTTGTTTTTGTTGCTTTAGAAAATTCACAGGTTCCTTACTAATGTGTCTGAGGCCAGTTTGAATGTACAGTGTGTTGCGTCATGGGCTCTGACTGTGTATGAAAAATATTCATAGGAACAAAATGTACATTCAGTCACAAGTTTACAAGGTAGGAAGGAGCAGAGCGCGACCTGACACATTTTAGTTTGGGCTCAATGTTTTTAAAACAACATGAGCATCTCTGCTACAAATCAACAGTTGGTGTTTTCTTCTAGAACTTATCTTTCTTCTGCAGTCGCACCAAGAAGTGCAGGAAGTGAAATGCTACACATGGGTGAGGTTAACTGTTTATGGATCTATGATAGATATCCAAACACCTGTGCGTCCCTCATCTGACCAGCAACGCTTCATGAATGGAGAGATCCACACACAGACAGATACACAGTCTGTGTGTTGATGGATAGATGTAGGTAGATACCGATCTCTCCATCTACATCAGGGGGAGGACAGGTCTCCATCCATCTGTTAGTCTATTATCTATATTCAGTGGTTGGAACCATAGGTGTACACCGATCAGCCAGAACATTAAAACCACTGACAGATGACATGAACAACGTTACAATACCATGCTCTGCTGGGAAACCTTTTGTCCTGGCATTCATGTGGACGCCACTTGAAGCACTTCACTCATCCAATCACAGCTGCAGTCCAAGTCCCCCCTCATGGCAATAACACTCCTTGATGACAGAACACGCACCGTGCCACACCACGAACAATGCTCAGAAACTGCCCGAGGAACGTGACAAAGAGCTCAAGGCATCAACCTGGTGTCCAAATTCCCCAGATCCCAATCTGATCGAGCATCCGTGGGACGTGCCGGTACCCCACCTCACAACCCACAGGACTCAAAGGATCTGCTGCCAACGCTGCAGTGCCAGACTCAAAGCACACCCCCAGAGGTCCTGTGTGCATGCCTTGACATGTCAGAGCCAAGTCCGATCCAAAAAGGCCCCACTGTGGATCAGGGGTACCTCTGGGGTATCAGCATGTCCCACAAATACTCAATCAGATTGGGATGTAGGGAATTTGGAGGCCAGGTCGATGCGTCGAGCTCTGTCACGTTCTTCGGGCCACTCCTGACCAGTTTTTGCAGTGAGGCATGGCACATTACTCTGCCTGGGGGGGCACTGCCATCGAGGTGCATTGTTACCACTGGGGGGGATGTACTAGCTCCACAGCGGTGTTTGGGTGGGTGCTGCATGTCAAGTAACACCCACATGAATGACCAAAGGTTTCCCAGCAGAACTTTGCACTGTAACAAGATGATCAATGTTATTCACTTCACCTGTCTGTGGTTTAATGTTGTGGCTGATCGGTGTACACAGACTGGGCAACATAGATCCACATGTCAAAATATGAGTACTGATCGATGATATTAATTTAGATACCTGACAAATTAAAAATACAAAGTATATCGAATTTAATTAAGGACATTAGTTCAAACTGAACAGAAGTTTAAAGGCCTGACACATCAATCCGACGGTCGGCCGTCTGTCAAAGTCGGTGAGCGTATGTCGGTTCCGCAGCGTCAGCACTTTGGCGTGATTGGCTGTTCAGGTTTTATTTCCTCGCCCCTGTAGCGAGTGAATCAGCCTGTAGTGAAACCGGGGCTAACCGGTGCTTCTTCCTCAGGCTCCACTTCACTCAGCTGCCCCACAGACCCGCTGCTTCTTC